GATAATAATTTGCTTTCTTTTACAACACAAAGTTATATAATGCAGTTACTCCTAAATTTTTTCATTATTTTGTAAGTTAACAGATATGTAAACAGTTTTTTGAAAATAAATTGATTTGTATACATTTCAAATTCTTAATATTAAATTTACTGATAGAAACTTTATGACATGCTATTCTTACAATATTTTAACTGACACTTTAGGGCTGTTCAGTATGCTAATTTGTTTTCAGAACATAGCTAATTGAAGTTTTTCCCATTCAACTATCATATTGTGGTTCAAAAATATTTTTTACTAAATTTTATTATTTGCCCTAAAGGTCCCACAAAGCCACTAAACATTTGACAGGTCCCTAATATTATTAAAAAAAAAAATTATTTAAAAATATGTCAACTTGGTACTCAAAAGAAGCAAAATTTTATAAAAATTTTAAAAATTAGATTCATTTTTTATAAAAAACAACTTAAAAAACTTATTATTAAAAATGTTGTAAATATTACCCTTTTTTCATTTTTCGTTTAAAAACCATAGTTTTTATTCAAAAAAACCTAATATTGTTTTTTTTATAAAAAATACTTTTTGTTTTTGAAATTTTTAAACGATTTTGCTTCTCTTGAGTACCAAGTTGACATATTTTTAAATAATTTTTTTTTTCAATAATATTAGGGACCTGTCAAATGTTTAGGGGCTTTGAGCGACCTTTAGGGCAAATAATAAAATTTAGTAAAAAGTATTTTTGAACCACAATATGGTAGTTGAATGGGAAAAACTTCAATTAGCTATACTGAACAACCCTACTGACACTTACTCTCTTTTTTGTGATTTGAGACGAAATTAAGTCTCAAATCACAAAAAAGAGTAAAAAATTAATTTTTTGTATTATGGTATTTTTTATTTATTTATTTTTTATTGTATTGTTATTTGCCTCCGCATTAATACCAGGGACATGGTAGGGATAGAACTAAAAACTTTTTACTATGAAGCAAGTAAAAAGTATACCCTACAGAAATAGCAACAGAACATCTAAATTTTACACCAGAATTTAGACATAATAAACAGAATATTGACTTGAATAAATACATACACAGTGTTATATTATGTCAGTATTTAGTTTTTTAAATGAATTGTAATCTCATATATCTCTAATTTCAGAGTTGAAACAAAGAGCCAATTTTATTTTCATTAATTACAATTAAAATAATTTTAAACTTTTAAATTTTTTTTTATTATTATTATTTTTACCTCCTCAAGGCCATATAGGCTTTCAGGCCTTTATTTAAATGCACCACCTTAAAACTTTAGAGGCTGCTGCAGTTGAACAGAGTCCATTATTTTAAATTGTGATTATAACCCTCTCTCAACTAAGTTTTTGTATGTAATATGTGATATGGTATAGTTTTTAAATGTGGTATGTTATACAAAGATAATATGTGTATAATGTATGTACATTATATTGTATATATATATATATATATATATATATATATATATATATATATATATATATATATATATATATATATATATATATATATATATATATATATATATATATATATATATACATAGATATATATATATATACATATATATGTATATATATATATATATATATATATATATATATATATATATATATATATATATATATATATATATATATATATATATATGTGTGTGTGTGTGTGTGTGTTTTTTTGACAAATTTATGAAATGTTCTTTGAGGTTTAGTATGAACATAAGGTTAATTGAATGTTTTAATACACGTGCAATACCAAGAAGTTTTACTATAGGAGTCGGAATCGCGATTTTGTTTAGCAACTCCGACTCCACAGCCCTGGTTTTAATTATTATTAATATATGAATAAATTGTTATAAGTAAATGTATATATATATATATATATATATATATATATATATATATATATATATATATATATATATATATATATATATATATATATATATATTTGTTGTAAATATATGTATAAGTTTATATATTTGTGCTTACAGATGAACAGGTATAAATATATGAGGACATCAAGAATAACTTTATGATGAAAAGTTTATTCTTTGATAATCAGTTTTTTAAAAAATGATAATTATTGAAGTTTAATTGGTGATTTTAGCAAATTCCAATAGTTTTGATGTTTTTGAAAATGATTTTATGTTATCTTTAATTAAACTCTTTTTAAAAAGTGCTTATTATAATAAACCTTTTTCACTTTGATAATTATCCTTATTTTTAATGATTGACCTTGTACAGTGGCCCGTTAAACATTTAGTTTCAAATTTTTTATTAAATGATTTATTAGTCTTAATGCGGCAACATGGATATAGAAAATAAATGTTACTAAAATGATTGCTGCTTACATTATGATTGTTTTTCGACTTATTAAAATTTTTCTAGCTTTTTGTAGCTGTGCCTAGGATTCTCTCTGCAGATTCTGAATATGCTACTTTTTCCCGGTCAATGAGTTTTGATGTTCTCCAGGAACGCGGCATGTCAACGACGTCCTTGGTAAGCTCCCATATTTTGACTGTTTTTCGTAGGCAAGATGCAAAAGACACAAGTAATTTGGCTGTTTGAATGTTGCTGTGAACTTTTAACAAAGACATTCCAATAATTTGCCGTTTGATCTCAATTGAAACTGGTTTTTGTCCAATTTGCACGCAATTTAAAATTGTTATGTATATATATATATATATATATATATATATATATATATATATATATATATATATATATATATATATATATATATATATATATATATATATATATATATATATATGTTATATAAAACACAAAAAATAACAGTTATATTTGAAATCTCGAGGTAATCTATTATTACTTAGAGTAGTAGCCCTTGCATATAATATCTAATATAGAACAATTCAAAAACCATCAGTGCATAATTAGTACACCTTGTTTAACTGAGTAATTTGTTGCTATATCATCAAACTAGCCATGGATAGGTCAAGGAATCCATTCAGCTGCTTCTCTGAAGTTTCACGTTCTCATTTTAAAACTATAGCGACAATCAACTTTTTTTCATCCGTGTATCTGGTTGTGAAAAACAATAATATTACTCAAAAATTGAATCTGTCTTAAAAGCTAAAGTTAGCTTTTCTTAAATTAACCACTCCCAACTGGGTAAGCGAAGTCAAACCCAATTTAGAAGCCAATAAAGCCATCATCAAACGAATCAACAAAAACGCTAAATTTGTTGAAATATATCCAAAAAAGCCATTGTTGCAAGCCTACCAAAAGCCTCTAACAACATATTTTGAACTTATTTACACCAAAGGCTATAAAAGTTTAAAATAGGCTAAAGAAATTTAACTTTAATATCGATTTTATTGTTTTAAAAACCACTGATTGAAATAAACTGCTAATTAATGTGTTGAAAACAAACAAGCACTTCACAGAGCATCTCATTTTTAATGCAAAATAACTTGCCATTATAAATCACTGTTGAGTCTGATTGTCTGCATGGAAACTGTGTCTGTGACACCTTTACGACTAGATTAGAATTGCGTTGAATTTAGTTGAACTTTTCGTTAATTTTTGTTACAATGGTGTAGAAACATGAAAGTAGAGGAAGGTGAGCGGATTATGAATTTTTAAATCACTATAAAATTTTTGTTCCTTTTAGACCCAGGTTGATTTACTTTTTAAAAAAAATTTCACTAATAATGGGAGCAAGTGAATAATCTAGGGTCATAGTGGGTGATTTTGTTCAATAATTAAATAAAGCCAATGACTGTTTTTTTTATATTTAAAACTAGATATACCAAAAATTCACTAAAAAGTCACAACCCTAGTGTATACGCTGTTTAGAAGAGACAGAATAGGAGACTACACAAAGACCTATTTGTTTATGTTTGTAACAAAATCTAATTGTTTAAAGTCACGCGTAAAATATTTTTGAACAATAAAATTAAAAAAATATTATGCTCCCTAAAGTTTACAAAAGATATTATTTTGGTTGAGTGTATTTACAGACCACTTAGCTTAGACGTAGTAACTCATAGAATTAAAAGTTTTATGAATTAGTACGTCTTTTATTATATAAAATCAATAGACTGATTACAAACAAAAAGTACACTGATTTTTACTGGTCGTCGGATAATCACTTAACAAAAATTTTTATCATTTTACACTGTCATTTTACATCAACAAAGACTCATCAGAAAATTTTCTTATGAGTCTTTGTTGATAAAACACAGTGTAAAATGAAAAAAATTTTTGTTAAGTGATTTTCTACTAATTTATATATATATATATATATATATATATATATATATATATATATATATATATATATATATATATATATATATATATATATATATATATATATATTTATACATATTTAATGATGTCATCATAGCTAAATGTATTTAGCGACGTTGTAAATGTTAATATTGTTAGCTCATTTTCATGTGGTTTTAATGTAAAAAATACAATTTTACACTGCACCATGAAAATAATTTCAATATTTTTTGTAGTAATTCCCTTTTAAATTAGCTTTTCTAAATCTAACACTATTTAGACTTGTGATATTTCACTTACAGTTAAAAAACCAGCAATTATTTCAAACTATTTTGTCATTATTTTATTATACACTTAAAAAAAATAAAACGCTTTTTTTAAATATAACTCTCTAAATGCAAAAATGAAACAAAACTAGTTAATTTTTTATTTCGTGTGTTGCAACTGTAACAAAAAAAAGATGATGAAGTCAAAATAAACATTGTGATAAAATAAAAATATAAAGTTAATAAACATATTTATTCGTTTCGGTTTTCTTGTAATATAAGTGACCAAAGCAAACTATTTTTAATACTACTACAAATATTTTTTGCTTCATTTATTCATTTTTTAATAAATTATTTATATAGATCTTTATCCATTAAGCTTGAATTATACTATCATTTAAAAAATGTCAACTTAAATTCATAAAAATATTCGAATAATTAAATAAACTATTTACCTCGTTAAGAAATCTGGTTTATACTTATAAGTCGAGTCTTACTTGTATTTATTTCAAGATTTAAGGCTATATTTTATAACCAGTTGAAAAGAAAACATAACGCTTGTACGAAAACAATAATATTAATTATAATTTCAAAATTTATATAAATAAAGTTATATTTGTAATGTTTTATTTAATTTTAAAGAATTTATTATTTAATCTTTTTAAATGCAGTTCACCAAAATATAAAACCCTTGTCTGAATAAACTTAGTTTATTCAAACAATTAAAGACAAATAAATAAAGTTAAGTATTGGTTTTTTATTTATTAGGCAAAAAAAGATTAGCCTAAACTGTTTATATATTAAACTCTGCTGTTAAGCAAACCATTTATATATTTAACATTACTATCAACGGATGTTATGCAGACTATTTATATTTTAAACCCTGCATAAACGAACTATGGAAATTCTGATTTAATAAATAAATAAGCTGATTTAATATAAAAAGCTAAAAAAAAAAAAAAAAAAAAAAAAAAAAAAAATTAAAAAGTTAAAATAATTATTTAGAATTTTTATTTATTTTTTTATTAAAATGATATTTATACAGGATATACACTTTCAGTTGAAAAAACTCAACCTTGTTCATGTTTAAAACTTAAAACAAATTATAATTATCCGAAAATAACAAAAAGTATAAAATTAATAAAGTTATTAGGCGTACTTTAATACGGCTTTAAAAAAGTGGTTGTTTATTATTTCTTTTAAATAATGATAGTTTCGCCGTAATTCTAATGTCCGAAAGTAACTCGTTAAAAGGCTTGCTTCTGCATATTAGAATCTTAAATAATCATATGAAAATCGTATAAATGTTTTATAAACTATGTTAATCGCAAACCACATTGTCGTCATTTGCTTTTTCAAAATTTTATCACAATATAGTTATATAAGGCACGATCATCTATAATTGAGAAAAAAATGTCTAAATATCTTTTTGCAATTGCAGAAGCTTGATTAAAAAAACTCAACGTTCCTGGAAATATTTGAACAGATCTCAAAACTTAATTTGCAATTAACCCAATTTACAGTGGGCCAAAGTTCACTTTTTCCGGACGAAATTCATTAATATTGGAGCTATATTCATTAAAATTAGCATGAGTACTAATATGATGTCTTCGCTTTTTATGAAGGTAATATTTTTTTATTTCGTTGCATGGATACCTTAGCAACAACTTATTTTTGGTATTTGCAGATATTTTAAGAGCCCTATATTCACAAAATTTGGTGTAAGTGCCAACATAAGATCAGGCTTCTTGTAATTTTTTAATTTTATAATAACTTTTTTATTTCGTTGCTGATAAATGTAAGTTATGCAGTGATGAAATAACAGCATCATTGGAAACTAGGAGTCTATTAATTAGATCAGTAATTGTTGCTCTTCTGATATTTTTTGGCTGATTGGCTGAAGTTTTCGCTATAGGATTTGAAGTCTTTATTTTTAGCGTCTTGAGCTTCCTCGGACATAAGTCCGAAAGGTAAAAAAAAGCTTTCGACTATGTCATTTCCATGTATCAATACCTTGTGAACTATGAGCCATGTAATACCATGGATAAGAGGACACATATAGTCTAACAGTGTCAAAACAATAATACTTAAATTTTAAGCAGTCTATTTCATATCCTGAAGAGAGTGTTACCAACTTAATGTAAAAACTGAACAAAAGGTTTTGATCAATACCTAGAATTTTAGCTGTTTATTGATATGCTAAAACAAGCAGGTCTTGAGGTATTCCATCTTTTTTTGTTCCAGAACCATCACTTTTAGGGAAATCAACAACAAGTCCCACTTTGTTCATAAAATCAGTCTGAATCTTGTTTCTTTTTTAAATGCAATGTGCAAAAACATCTCAAAAAGTTGAATCCATGCATGAAGACTGGAAAGACCATATTTGAACTATCTGTTAGTTTAATCTATGTTAAGGACATCAATACTGTTCATATTTTTTGGAGAGACACCACACACTGAACAGCATTGGTAAGAGTTAGTTTTTTATTACAACTATTTCCAAATGTAACTCGTTTTCAACCACGTCAACTTGCAGTTGATTCATTGTGTTTTTTTTCTGATAATAAAATATTTATTAAGCTGTTTTGCAAACTTCTTTTCAAAACTTTTGACAGTTTATTCGCAGATTTTCTTTTTTTTTTATACAAATAAACAAATCGTAGAACAACATGCCTAAAATCAACGTCTATAAATTCAACAAATTTTGGCCAAATAAATTTCAATATATCTTCAGTAATGTTTTGTTTGGAAATACTAAGATTATTATTTTAGAAAAAATTATGAATGTTTAAGTTTAATAAAGCCATATTTAAATAATTCTTATTACAAGTATTTTATATTTAAAAGTTTAATGTTATAATATATATGCCGCTTGGACTACTAATTCTTGTAAGTAATTAAGTTACTACAAGTGTTAGTGATTAAAATTAAAAGTAATTAAATAACTGTCGATATTAGTAAATAAATTACTAACAACTACCAAAAATATGTTGTTGATATGCTATGCAAAGTAAGGTATTTATAGCAACCCCAACAAACAAAAACCCTCAGTCAATGTAGCGACAATCCTTCCATGCTCTACTTGTTTTTTAGTCAAAATAAATACACTCTTTGCATGTTCTACCTTTTTATTAGTTGATTTATGTTGATATATATGCACTCCTTGCATGTTCTATCTATTTTTCTGTCGATTTATAAAGAATGAAGGATTAAGGTTTTGATTGAAACATATGTAAGGTAAAGTGGTGTAACATTGACACAGTGCCGGATCAAGCGGGGGGCTAGGGGGCTATAGCTCCGAGCCCCGCAAATTTAGGGGCCCTTAAAATTTTTGTAGGCCTTTTTTTTTTTCTTTTTTTTTTGTCATTTTTTTAGGCTCCGGCCCATAAAAAGGCCTCCAAAAACAATAATAGCCTCGGCCCCCAAGAAGTTTTAATCCGCCACTGCATTGACACATCTTGAGGAAAAAAAAATTTTTCTGGCATGGGACAAAAAGAAATCGGTATCCAATATTTCTATGTGTTTATAAATAATATTTCTGTTATAAACTATTAAAATTTTAACTGTTTGGTTAATATTTTTGATGGATAATAAAAATGTTCGATGCTGCAGTACCATTGTAAATATTACCCTCTATCTTGGGTAACATTGACAGTTAAATGTTTTATACATTAATTGTTAAAAATACTTAATAAGGGTTACATAACAATTGGAAGTTCGACAAATAAAATAGAGAAAAAATTTGAAATATATACAAGAACCAATATACAGTTTCTTTTTAAAACTCATCACTTTAAAAAAAAGTAAAATAGCGCTGAAAACATAACAAAAAATTTATAAGATATCAAAAAGATTCAAGTGGCACAAGATTCATTAAATTTCAGACATTCCTCCAATGTTCTCTTGATTTTTTTTCTTTTTTCGTGGCTTTTCATAGGTTGCGTGAGTCGAAGACGTTTCAAAAGTACTGTTTGTAGTTGTTTTCTTTAAGAGTTTATGAATTTTATTTGTTTCGAGTTTATATTATTCATGTCATTGATACCCGGTACAACCTTATTTTGGTTTCAGTTATTACTTATGCTAATAATTACACCCGATGTCAGAGGCTCTATCGTTGCCAGTTTCTCATCGGTTATTCTTCTTTGTTTTTGTGGCAAAATTACACAAGTTTCATAAACCCTATATAGCATTACTTTGACAAAATATCTTACAGTCTGTAATCAGTTTCAAAAATTGTTGGGCGTCCAACTTGTTTATAATCTATATTCTTGATATGATTAATTAATGCTGTTCTATCTTGCACATGAATATTTTACTTATGCTGACATTGTTTTCACATCATTAATGTCTTTTTTCATGGCTTCCCGATCAAACAATCCGTATGTTAAATTTGGTTTATTTTATGTAGTTGCGAGGCATTACATCATGTGATCATAAACTCTTAAAATAAAAAAAACCATTAATTTTCTTTCACTTAAAGCCTAATTATCACGAGTAACCATTAACAAATCTATCTTACCCCAAAAACTGAATTGCACGTTTTAAACAAAAAATAATACATAAAAATACATAAAAATCATTTTAAAAGCTTAACATCAAGGAACACCATCATAAAAATACATTTAAATTATATTTTAGTATCGTTTAGCTTAACTTATAACAAAAGTTTCTTAACAATAAAAAAAATTAGGAATAAGTTCAATTTGTGTTTGCCGTATTGCGCTGTTATTTATGTTTACAATTATGTGGATAAAAAGGCTATATTTTTCATTCAATACTGTCGCGTTTGGTTAAATAATTTTAACAATAGTCAACATGTGACTGGTTAAAACATTTAATATAACACGTGTCAATGTTACCCACCTGTCAATATTACCCCGCGTTAACTTATGTATAAAATGTTTATTGTTCATATCTATGTATAAAATATTTATATTACAAACAACTATTATATCGATATATCGTTTATATTATGAGCTGCAAAAAAGTTCATGGGGGATTTTTTTCAAGAGAATATTTTTTTGTGAGTTTTCCATAGGGATTTTTTCCCGGGGGATTTTTTTCTGCTACCCTAATATATATGAGTTTAACCTGTTAAATGTTTTTTTATGTGTGGAAAAATGATTTTTATTTATATAGCTTTAAAGATTTCTATTTGTGAAATTAATAAACATATAAACATATATAAACATATATACGCTTATAAATAATAATTTATATTAGAATTTTGTTATGACTCAGATTTATTTATTCATTTACTTTCTTGACATAAAAATAGTTATGTTATTTCATTCATGAAAAGCTAATACTGCGCAATAGCTTTTCAGAAAAGCAATTTAAAGAATTCTTTTGTTCTTTTTTCTAATTCATAAAAACACAGTCAAACAGTATTTACAATGTGCTTATATATTTTTGTCCTAATTCAATTGTAAACGCCACAATTCTCCTAAATCAAAACAATTAACAAGTGTTAGCTTAAACTAATAAAGATTGAGAAATTATTATCTAAAATTCAAACTATAAAATATAAAATAAAACTATTACGCAATTAAGAGCGCATTCGTAAAACGTTATACAGTTCTACATAAATAAAAGTAAATATGCAATCATATTTATTCAAAATTAAAATTTTGAAAACTTTGACTAGCAAGCTTGGA